CTCTGGTTTAAACTCTCTCCTCAAACTCTCGACTTTATCACCTCATTTTCATCAAAAGAGCCTGCTTCCTTCTTGAGAGAAAAAAAAAATGAATGAAGTAAACTTACCTCCATCTTCACTTTCCTTCTATGAAAGAAAGGTCCCTCTTCCTAAACTGTCTGAGCTCAGGGTCCTGCTCCTCCAATCCCTTCCACAAGACCCACTTTCCTCTCCATAGCCAAACTTCCTTCCATAATTCATTCTACAATCCATCCTCCATAAAGCAATATTTTTTTTCATAAAGCAATATTTTAAGACGTAATAACAGCACTTTCCTACTTAAAACCTTCAATAGCTTCCCATTAATTCACTGAAAAATATTTATGGAGTGCCTACTATGTGTCAAGCAGTTTTAGGTACTTCACTAAATAAAAACATCAAAGGTTCCTGCCCTCACAGGGTTTATATTCTAATGGAGGCAGACAATAAATAACATACATAAGTAAATTATATAGGATATTAGGTAATAAATATAAGCATAAGGAGAAAAAATAGATCAGGTGAAGGGGATAACAAATGGGGAGGGGGTGGAATGTTGCAGTTTTAAAGAATGTGGTCCTGGTAGGCCTTGTTAAAGTGTTATTTGACCAATGACTTAAAGCAGTTGAAGAAGTCAGCCACGTGGATACCTGTGGGAAAAGCATACTAAGAAGGAGCTAGTGCAAAGGCCCTAAGGATGGTGCCTGGTGTGTTTGTACAATAAGGAAGCCAGCGTGGTTAAAATAGAATGCGGAGGGGGTAAGGATAGGAAATAAAGTCAGAGAGCTAAAGAAGGGGGCACAGGATCACAAAATACCTTGTAGGCCACTGCAGGACTTTGGCTGTCACACCCATTGCTCTTAGAAGCTAATCCTCTTAATAAAAGCCTTGTAGGCTCCAGGGCCCCGTTTGCCTCATCACCTCATCACTACGCTCCAGCCAGGTTTACCTGAAATAGATGCTTCCATCCACCAAGTGCCTGTCTACCTTGAGGCCTGACCCAATCCATTTCCTCTACTTGGACAGCTCTTCTCCCATGCTTTACCTAACATCCACTCATTCTTCAGGTCTTGACTTAAATGTCCACATCAGGCCCCGCCCAGTCCTACCCTCTTGTGTTTTTCTCCATTGTTGCTCTTACACCAATTACAATTTCACTTTTTTTTTTTTTGGTGATTCTTTAATCAGCGTCTACTTCCCCAGCTTGACTGTAAAACTCCATGAGAGCAAGTACTGGGTCTGTTTTGGTGACGACTGTATCCTCTGAGCTGAGCACAGTGCCAGGTAACTTGTATACAGTAAATACTTGTTAAATTAATTCATGGGATGAAAGGATTTTCCTTTTTTTTTTAGAGTAGGAGAAATCCAAACAATTCTGGATAATGATGAAAAAGACTCCGTAGAAAGGTTGAAAGTGAACAAGGAACAGTGGGTAAACACGGAGAAAGCGTTGAGTCCTTGATGGGCTGAGAGGGTGGGAACGCAGCTCCAGGGAAAGCGCGGTCTCTGGCAGGCACGCCTCGCTCGCAGCAGCGAGTCCCGTCCAATCACCTACATCACCGGTACCTCCCAGTGGCTTACACTGTGTCCCTTCCTCTTCGTCTCTACTGCTGGGGCCTAATGCAAGTCATTCCTGTCACCTGCCTGGATTATTTCAAAAGCTTCCCTGCTAGTGGATCGCTCTCTCTGCAGCCTCGGCTGGAGTCCTCCTGCCCGCCTTTCACTTTCTGGAACGCAGTGAGTTCCATCCTCCCAGGGAACTCGCCCTTTCCCAGAATAGACACCTTTCCCCCACATTCCCCGGTCTTTGTCTAACTCCTATGGCTGCTTTAAGCTTAGCTCTGGCAGCGCCACCTCCTCTGCGGACACCCATCCCTACCCCGGAGCCGTGTCCCTGAAGACAGCGTAAAGCTCACTCCCACGTCCCCGCGGCACGTACAGGATGAATTACCTCCCACGTTTTCCCGTGTCCGAATACACCACGTTCCCAGGGGGCGTGGCTCCGGCCAATCCGGGCGGCGAGCTGAACCGTGATAGCCAATAGGATCCCAGAACGCTCCGAACCCGCTCCTCGCGCGCCAGACCCCGGAGGTCTGAACGGAACTCCAGCCCCACAGTGACTTCCGGAGGCGAGAGCCTGCCCCTACACCCGAACTCAATAGTCGCGCCAGGAGACAAAGCGGAAGTCCTGCCGTTTCTTGCCACCGACTAGTCAGGCAAGGGCCGCGCGGTGTCATGGCAGCCGACAGTGGCGATGGCGCAGCTCCAGCGATCTCTGACAGTGAGTGGCTTTTCAGGGGCTGACTTAAAAGCCTGTGCGCCCTGGGGGAGGGAAAGGCCTCTGGCTCATAGTTCTAGAAACCGACCTCAAGTTTCAGAGGACTAACTTCTCCCTTTTTAACTAGCCACGAGGAGACTACAAGTCCCAGTTTGCACCGCGGCTCGGGCTGCAAAAGCCTGGAGTGTTACAGTTAGGATCCTTAGGGGGCATGTCGGGAAATGTAGTGTGGAATTCATTTCTCTGTTAAGTGGGGCAGGTTGGGAGTTGTGGTCCAAAGGAAGTGGGGTGTTTTGGGAAGCCAGGTGTAGGGCATTCTCTGGGGCCTAATTATTATTGGGCTCCGGGCCATACAGGCTACTGCCACCTGTGGCTGCTAGGGCACCAAGGGAACAGTCGTATGGAGCCTGATGGGATATTAAAGGAACTCAACTCCTGGAGCCGTAACAAATAGTTCCTGCAGGACATGGGGAAAAGGTACCTCACAGATCATCTAGTGACTAGAATTTTTCTAGTCCAAACTTCACCTTCTACAGGTAGTGATGCTGAGGGAGAAGTGATTTTCCCAAAGTCTAACATAAGCCCCTGGAAGACGCAGGCTTTTTTCTCCCCAAATTCAGGGCACTATTCACTCCAAGGTCTGTGTGTAGAGCATGCTGATTCAAAGGCTTGAGGGGGAAAGCTGCCATTTCTTGCCATCATGGAAAATGCCCCCAAGCCATGGCCTAGCTTGGTATCTACTCCCCTTCCCCATGCCTGATCATTAACTTCCATTATTCTGTTCTCCTTACCCCCAGATAGTGTCAGCAAAAGCACAAAACCTGGGGAAGAGCTGGTAGTACAAGTTCCAGTGTTGGATGTGCAAAGTGACAACTTTAAGGAGATGTGGCCATCCCTTCTGCTGGCCATAAAGACAGCTAGCTTTGTGGCTGTAGACACGGTGAGGGTTGGGGAACTGGGAGGGCAGGTGGTTGTGAAAGGGCTGGTGTTGGGGACCTAATTTAGTTCTCCCATTAACCACCCATAGGAACTGAGTGGGCTTGGGGATAGGAAGAGTTTGCTGAACCCGTAAGTATTATCTGTGATCTCTTTAGTTCCAACCCTGATGAGGGGAAGTGGGGGCAAACCTTAGCCCTGGAGTGGAAGTCACCCTGGGAGGTTTGGGCCCTTCATGAGGCTAACTTCTAGCTACAGCCACCCCCAAACCCAACCCCAAGGTGCATCGAAGAACGTTATAAGGCTGTGTGTCATGCTGCTAGGACCCGTTCTATCCTCTCCCTGGGCCTCGCCTGCTTCAAGCAGCAGCCAGACAAGGTATGTGCTGATTTCATTCCCTTCCCAGGTTTGTGGCTGGGGGAAAGAGGAGGGTTGAGATCCTGGGAACATTATGTGTAAGGTTTTTTTGTTGTTTTCTAAATGTTTTTTATTGATTTGAGAGAGAGAGAGAGTAAGGGAGAGGGAGAGATAGAAACATGAATGATGAGAATCATTGATCAGCTGTCTCATGCACACCCCCTACTGTGGATCAAGCCCGCAACCGGGGATTGAACCATGAACCTTGGTTCATGGGCCCATGCTCAACCATTGAGCCACACATGTGAGGTTTTGATGTAGTGAACCCTCCTTCTCTCCCAGGGTGAACACTCATACCTGACCCAGGTGTTCAATCTGACCCTGCTGTGTGTGGAAGAGTATGTCATAGAACCAAAGTCTGTGCAGTTCCTGGTACAGCATGGCTTCAACTTCAACAGGCAGTATGCCCAGGGTATCCCATACCATAAGGGCAACGACAAGGTAGGTCTCCAGCCTTGAGACTGCCTCTTCTGTGATTTCATCTTCTTCCTACCACAGGCTGGATGTGCAGGAGGATCTGCTTCTTAGGGAGTCACTAGTGACAGGGCTGGGGAAATAAGACGAGTATGTGAGTGTAGAGCATTGGGTTAGGTGTGGAGGGAGAGCTTTCCAGGTGGGGGAGCTCGGGATAAATATATTGTGAGAGAGGCTTCCCGATGATCCCTTTCTTTCCAACCAGGGTGATGAGAGCCAGAGCCAGTCGGTGCGGACACTGTTCCTGGAGCTAATCCGGGCCCGCCGGCCCCTGATACTGCATAATGGTCTCATAGACTTGGTGTTCCTGTACCAGAATTTCTATGCACATCTGCCTGAGAGCTTGGGAACCTTCACTGCTGACCTGTGTGAAATGTTCCCAGCTGGCATTTATGACACCAAATATGCTGCTGAGTTTCATGCCCGCTTTGTGGCCTCCTACCTAGAATATGCCTTCCGGAAATGGTGAGGGACTGGTTGAGGGGAAGCGGTGGGGCCTGGTATAAACCCATTTTGTATTTATTGAGTGCCTATCATGTGCCAGGCACTGTTTTAGTGCTGGGGATTCAGCAGTGAACAAAACATAAAAACCCCTGTTCGCATGGAGCTTATATGCTAGTGGACCAACACCCTCTTGTGCTATTTCAGTGAGCGGGAAAATGGAAAGCAGCGGGCAGCTGGCAGCCCACATCTTACCCTGGAGTTCTGCAACTATCCTTCTAGCATGAGGGCCCATGTAGACTACCGCTGCTGTATGCCCCCTACATCCCACCGTCCTCATTCCACCATCATCTGTGATAACTTCTCGGTGAGAATTCCCACCCATTTCATAGGGGAGGGAAGGTTGATGCCTGGACCCGCTCTCTAAGCCTCTTTCCTGCCTCTAGGCCTATGGCTGGTGCCCCTTGGGATCACAGTGTTCTCGGTCCCATGATATTGATCTTATCATTGACACTGATGAAGCTGCCACAAAGGATAAGCGGCGACGGCGACGACGTAAGGAGAAACGACGGAGGGCCTTGTTGGGCCTGCCTGGGAAACAGAGCTCTGGGGAAGCCGAGGATGGTCCTCCCACTAAGCAGGTCTGTGGGGATGGCGTCAAGGCTGAGCACACTGAGCAGGAGGTGGCTCAGGATGAGACTAGCAACCAGCCTGGCTCTGAGCAAGATCACAAAAATGACTTGGAGATGGGACTTAAAGCAGCAAGGTTTGAAACAGCTGACATGGCTGCCTTAGAAGCACCAGGGAGTCAAGCCAGCCCTAACCGAGTGCCTGGGGATGGATTGCATCGGGCTGGTTTTGATGCCTTTATGACAGGTTATGTAATGGCCTACATGGGAGTAAGCCAAGAACCTCAGCCCTGTAGCTCTGGACCCTGGCTACCTGAATGCCACAACAAGGTATACCTGAGTGGCAAAGCTGTACCCCTCACGGTGGCCAAGAGCCAGTTCTCCCGTTCCTCCAAAGCCCACAACCAGAAGATGAAGCTCGCTTGGGGCAGCAGCTGACCTAACTTCTGCTTAGCACCCAGAGCCCAAGAAGAGAAGCTGAGGGTAGAGCAGAGGGTTCTGGTCCCTCTAGCCTATGAAGGTCCTACACCCAACTACAGAGTTGGGGAGGAGGGCTCCTGACAGAGATACTGCTGCATTGCTCTGGACTTTCTTTACCCCAGAGGCTGAGAAACAATGGTACAAGTAAGAAAACTGACCAGCACCTGTAGTAACCAACTTTATTTTTAAGTCTGAGAGTGTCTTGGGAAAGTTTTACCAAAAAATCAGCAGAAACAAGTTATGAAAATGTTTGACCAGCTTTATCTTTGGTTATTTCTTATTGCGGCTCTATAAAGACAGACTGTTCCCGTAGCTCCAGCCATAGCAGGGAAGGAAGAAAATCAGTCCATGTATAAACCGTTTAACCAATTGGGTGTATCACATGTTGACAAATATATGGGGCAGGCCCTAGGGCCTACAAAACCAGCCCCACTCCCAACCACAAGGTTGAAAGTCTTAGAGGGCAGAACATTAAGACTCCCTTCATAAATATGAAAATAGGTTAATGAACTGGAAAAGATCTTTGAAGAGGTTAGCTAAGAGCCATGACCACCACGCTGCCTTGTCCTCCCCTTGCATAGAAATGTAGTGACATGGTCTGACTGTGCAGTAAGTGCAAACAGCAATTATTCAAGTGTCTTAGACATACTGGCAAGAAGCACCCCAGTCTTTAGGTCTGAGAAATAGCCATGCCCTTTTCGGCCTCCTGGTCAGCTCCACGTCCCATCCAGTAGCTTATATGCTCCAGGGAAGGGCAAGACACAGACCTGGGGTGGAAGAAGAACCTGGGGTAATAGTCTGCCAGCTCAAACTAGAACTAGGAGTCCTCTGGTCTTGTCTGCAGAAATGCATTGTGGGTCAGCTGGGAGCCAGAGCTCCTTGCAGGATTTCAGAGGCTTGGAATCAGCTGTTGGCCCCAACAAGGAAGGCTTCTCACTGCTGCCTCCCCGCTCACAGTCACTGGGCACTTGGAGCCCCAAAGTTGAGCCTGACTTGGCCTAGCCTGCCTGCTCTGTGGGCTCCAGGGAAGAGTCAAGGCTGTGCACCAAGGGGGCCCTGTGGCTTCAGCTGAAGGTCCATCCCCATGGTGAGGCAGGGATGAACCCCTCAACCATCCTGCTCTCCCTGGGTTTTCAGGCCTCTGCCTGAGACAGAGAAGTGGACTGGAGCCGAATCTCTTGGCCTTTCTTCTACCTCCATCTCTTCAGAGGCACCTGTGAGGCATGGACTGGCCCCCTGAGGCCTGGGCCCAAAACCATTTTCTTCCTGGGAACTGGAGCAGTCCATGGCTTCATGGGCTGGAGCAGCTGGTAGGGCAGATGCTCGGAATGGCGGGATCTCTCTTACTTTGTACTTGAGACTACTGAGACGTGGTGGGGGCCCATCAGACAGTGATTCTTCTCGGCCTACAAATGGACAGGCCTCTTGATGCAAGAACTCTGGTGAACCAGGCAAAGAATGCCACCGGCGAGCAGGTGGGGCCAGGGGTTCCTGCCAGTCAGCCATCGGCAAAGTTCCAGGCCCTGGTGCATCCAGGTCAAATACCAGGGAAATAACAGACTTGCTGGGCAGGTCAAAGAACTTGACCTTGCCACCCTTGAGGTCCTGGCGAGCACTGAAAGGGTTGATTTTGGGGGTGCTGGCAGCACCACCTCGTGGCTGGTAGTACGGGTCCAAGACATTCACTGTATGTGGGGGCTTATGGGAGAAGATGTCTGACTGGCTTCGAGACAGCCAGATAGTACGTCTTGGGCGTGGGGACTTGGGAGGGATCTTCTCATCTAGTGAGCTCAGTCGCTTCATTCCAGGTCCTTTCTCCAGGAGTCCTGAAGGACAGTACATCAAGTCAGGATTACTGCACTAGTCATAACAAATACAAGCACTACACTGTTTTTTCTTGGGAAAACAAAGTAGGTACTGTTGTCCCCATTTCACCAGTGAGAAAACAGACTGAAAGGAGGCAGCATACCAAATCACAACTCATGGAGTTCAGTATTTTTCCCATTGTCCCCCATCCCTGCACCTTTCGTTTGGACATAGGATCCTGCCTTCACAGCCCTAGAGGGGAAGACCCCACAACCCTAATTTCTTACCCTTAGCGGTGGGCTGCAGCTCTTCCTCCTGTAGGTGGTTCAGAATTTCCTCCAGGGTCTTCCCAGTCTCCACAAAGGACGGGCGCAGTTTGGGGTCCATCTGTAGTTATCCACAGCAGCGATTAGCCCTGCCCTCCTACCTTTCACCCACAAGAATAGCATTTTAGTCTGTTTCTAGCATCTTTTAAGACTCAGATGTGCAGCTAAGAGACCTTTTCTGAAGGCCGCAGACCCTGAGGATTCCCAGAGCTAAGGTCAAGGAAGATGCTATCGTCTAATACCCTCCCCTGTCTCAGTAACCTTTCTGTGCCTTATCCTCTTTTGGCACAGAACTCCAACAGGTTATGCTCACATTGGTTTGTTCTTTCCTGAGTTCTGCTGCAAATGTGTTTCTCGAAGTTACCTAGACAAAGCCCATCTACTCCTTGGTCATAACAGGTAAGTCAAGCCTCAGAGCTGTATAAAATGAAAGCTAACAAGAGCCTTTCCCATCAGCCTTAGGACCAGCTGGATCCACAGTCTAACTAAAACCTGACCAGAGTTCCACCAACACCCAAGGCAAGGGGTGGTGGGTCTACCCTGCAGGCTGAGGAGCAGATATTACAAAGCAATTTTCCTTTATTTGGTCCAGGGCTCTGGAGAGTCTGGCAGGCCTCCAGAGGAGGAGCCATGAGCATTGTCATTCATTAATTAGCCCCTCATTAGGCAAATTAGGGCCAGCCGTGGGCAAACTAAGGCCCGCGGGCCGGATCTGGCCCGTTTGAAATGAATAAAAACTATTGAAAAAAAAGACCGTACCCTTTTATGTAATGATGTTTACTTTGGATTTATATTAGTTCACACAAATACTCCATCCATGCTTTTGTTCTGGCCCTCCGGTCCAGTTTAAGAACTCATTGTGGCCCTCGAGTCAAAAAGTTTGCCCACCCTGAATTAGGCTCTTTCTACAGTTCTAACCAGGTGAACCCAGCCCCTGACCAAAGCTGGGGGCAGGAGGATACACTCACATTACAGCAGTTGAAGGTAAGCTGCAAAAAGTCTGGGGGACAGTCTCCCACCATGTGCTGGAAAGCATCATAGTCCAGCCCGAAGTTCTGTGAATGGGTGTGGGGGGGAGGGAACAGAGGACATGGGTAGACAGGTTATTAATCCCTCCATCCATCCTGGCTTGCTCAGGAGGAGAGGCTGGGAATTGCCCCTGAGAAGCAGCCACATATACTAAGTTCCAACAACTCCACCCCAAGAACAAAATGGTTCCACAGCCTCAAAAGCAGCCCCACCCCAGTGGCACTGATCCCCATGCCTGCAGCTCACCTCTGTGCGGGGAAGATAGTCCGGATCAGCCTGGATACGGGCGATAATCTCACAGAGGATGATACCATAGGAGAATACGTCCGCCTGATGGGTAGTGAGACCTCAGTGGGCTGAGAAGAGGTTTCCGCCCCTCATGTCCCCAGCCCAGGCCTAGACTCTACTGCCCATATTTCATTCACTGGGTAGCTGCCAGGTACCAGCCCTGCTCTTGGTTGTAGATCCTCCCCTAAACATAAAGGGTGATCCTGGACACTGCTAAGGGTGGATTCTAAGGACAACCAAGCCTTGGGACCGCCAGACTCACCTTCTCATTGTAGGGCTCATCTCGGAGAACTTCAGGTGCCATCCAGAAGGGTGAGCCCACCACAGCCAGCTTCTCCCTCCCCATGCTGTAGGGTGAAACGATATAAAAAATGAACTTGCCACTGGCTGGTATAATAGGATATCTGAATATTGGGAATTCTTCTCCCCCAAGGCTGGGTATAGACGAGGAATGATCAAATTTAGGGAGCTGAGGTTGAGCTGTGACCAAGTCCTGGCCTCTGGGGAGGAAGCAGGAGTGTTTTGGGGTATTTTTTTGGTTTTTTGCCTTAGTCGCTTCTGTAACCCCAGTACCCATTAGGGCTACTCACCTGACATCAGGGATCTTCTCAGCCAGGCCAAAGTCACCTACCACCGCAGAGTAACCATTTTCATCCCTCTTTATCAGGCAGTTCTAGGGTTCCCAAAGAAGAAGACAGTGTGGCTCAGAAGTGGGGACCAGCCATCCATAAATTACCATGGCAGCCATGTGAGATGAGGTAGGCCTGGATCTTGAGTGGTTGTCCTAGGATTCGTATTACGCTCCAAACACAAATACTTACCTTTACTTTCTATGTGCCAGGCAAGGTTCTAACTGCCAGAGATAGCTCAACAAACAGAAACCCCTGTCCTCTTGGAGCTAACAATCTAGTGAGGAAGACAATCAGGCCCCTGACTTCCCTCTTCAGAATGTACAGACCAAAGGCCAGGCCTGACCTTGCGAAGAAATACAAGCATAGAACAAGTACCCAAACTAACTTTCACTGCCCACAGGATCACAAATAACCTCCTCTCTGGTATTAAAAGTCTATGATCTGGCTCTAAATGAACAGCCTACCTCCCCACCAGCTCCTGTCTGCCCCTGATGCCCGACTGTACACATCTTCATCCGGACTTTCATAGACATGCTTGACTTGTGAAGCCTGAACAGGGCATTCAAGCCCTATTCAGATATCCCATTATACCAGCCAGTGGCAAGGTCATGCTTATACTGTTCTGTTCCATTTGGTGTTCTCCCAATTCTCCTTTTCACCTCAAAATGTTCTATGATTTAAGGCAAGATACCTTTCCAATCCTGTCCTCTTCAGCTCTCACCTTTATTTCTTTCTCATTTTACTCCTTTAACTCTTCCTCTATGCCACTTCCTCTTAAAGTCTAGCAGGCTATCAGCTCCTCAGGAGCAAGTTCTGATTCCTCACAGTATTCAACTCATAAGAGAGGCTCAGGTCATGCTCACTAAACAACTGCTACTGTCTCCAGAAAAAAGGATAAACCCAAACAGCTTGTAAATAAATACAAAGCAACAAACTCTCCTCAAATAGTTGCATTCAAAATAGTCCTACACCACTCTGCTCTACCCACTTTCTCCAGAGGCAGCAGAGAGTAGGCATCCTTGGCTCACAGGGACATTTCTGGGGCCAGCAAGGCCCTATCTGACCCAAACCAGCCCTCCCTCCTCCTCACCAGCCTTGGCATGTAGGTACAAATCAGTTCCTTACTCTGACCTTGATGCAATTACACTATATTCTCTTTTTCCATGAAGT